TTCTCTGGGCAACCTGTTCCAGTGCCTCACCACCCTCTGAGTGAAAAATTTCCACCTAATATCCAACCTAAATCTCCATTATCTTAGTTTAAAACCATTCCCCCTCGTCCTGTCACTATCAACCCCTGTAAACAGTCGCTCCCCCTCCTGTTTATAGGCTCACTTCAAGTACTGGAAGGCCGCAATGAGGCTTCCCTGGAGCCTTCTCTTCTCCAAACTAAACAAGCCCAGTTCCCTCAACCTTTCATCATAGGAGAGGTGCTCCAGCCTCTGATCATCTCCGTGGCCTCCTCTGGACCCATTCAAAGAGCTCCACGTCTTTCTTGTGCTGGGGACCCCAGGCCTGGACACAGTACTCCAGATGGAGTCTCACAAGAGCAGAGTAGAGGGGGAGAATCACCTCCCTCTCCCTGCTGGCCACCCCTTTCTTAATGCAGCCCAGGACATAGTTTGCCTTCTGGGCTGCAAACGCACACTGCTGGGTCATGTCCAGCTTCTCGTCCACCACGATCCCCAAGTCCTTCTCCGCAGGACTGCTCTCAAGGAGTTCTTCTCCCAGTCTATACAAGTAGCTGGGATTGCCCCGACCCAAGTGCAGCACCTTTTACTTGGCCTTGTTGAACCTCATTAGGTTCTCATGGGCCCACTTCTCCAGCCTGTCCAGGTCCCTCTGGATGGCATCCCTTCCCTCTATTGTATCAACTGCACCACTCAGCTTGGTGTTGTCTGCAATATGAGCGAGAGAGCCATAGAGCGAGCAAACTTCCGGACAGATCCACATCTACATACTGGGCATGACATGCATGATATGGAATAGACCATTGGCCAATTTGGGTCCCAATCCTAAACCTAAGGTCGAATCCTAAGCCAGTAATTGTGGTCTATGCTCCCTCCTAGGCATGAGAAGCTAAAAAGTCCTTGACTGTCCTGGCAGCACCTATAAATATCAGGATGTTATCGGCCACCTTTTCAGCACAAATTCAAAAAATAGCCTCACACTAGCTACTGTGAAGAAAGTTAAGTCTGTCCCAGCTGAAACCAGGCCACAAACCATTTAAGCCGTGCTTAACTCACAAGCCAAGTAAGATTCACTTTTCAATTAAAACATAACACTTGGTTGGAAACAGATAGCTAAGGGAAACCACAATAAAATGTATGGCATAAAGAAAGATGATGAACAAAACGCAGTCAACAATCAGTCCCTTTCACGAGAACTAGTTCGCTAGGAGTGAATTAGCTAAGAGTTTTTCACAGAACTCAGCTTAGATGCAGGACTACATCCTGCAGTCTTGTCCTCCTCACTACATGACAATGTGGACACCAAGGACACCAGGAGGAGTGTAAAACCATCATTCCATGTTATTTTTCCTCATTTCACTGATCTAAATTTATATCATAATTGTCTGGGAGCTGCACTTGACTTAGCTAGGTGAAAAAACTACACTGATCAAGAAGACGGCCAAACTCCCCTTACAATTTCAACAGAAAACACTCATCTTCGTATTTAATCTGCAAAGTGCTCCTATACTGTCGAATAGCTACCACATTTTATCCTGTACCACTGTATTACACAATAATTTCACAGTAATTAGGAAGCTACCTAAGGTCTTTCAAGATGACAGTCCTAAGTAAAATTAGGACAGTTACTGTCATTAAAAGTTATTAAAGTAACACAAGATGGACATTTCTTCCAACATCTTAGAGCAGATCATGGTGGAAGAATAATAAATTAACTGTCAATAGGCACATAAAAAGGATATTTGTCAGGACATTAATAGCTTTGACCATTCTTTCACACTTTTTCTTCACTAATAGCTCATCCACAATCTGTTCTGGCATCTGAAGATGATCAAGAAGAACAGGCACCAAAAGATCCACAAAGTGTTCAGCTGAGGTGCTGGTCCCAGTATTAATAGCATCCTGTAATAAACACATTTTATTTTATGTCAATATTTAAAACTACAGAACAGGGAAGCCAAGCCTACTCTACCCCTTCCTCCACCAGCCTGTCTTCTAGCTTTCTCAGACTCTTGCTATTTCAGGTTTAAGACTGCTGATCGGTATCATACTGGAGGAGGAAGTTTAACAGAGAGAACAGAAACAGCAGAAACTGCCTCACTTCTACAAGTCCTAGAAGCAACTCTTTGATAGCTTTGTATCTACCTCATGACTTCGTGAACTGCCGCATCTTCCACTTAACTTCCAATGTAGATATATTTCTAAAATAGAGTATGTCTTTAAAAGAAAAGCTGTTTTACAACATACGGAATTCTAGAACAGGAAGAATTTTATTTAAGGTACATTTTTGCAAGCTATTTTTAAGGAAAACAGTTGTTTAAAGATAAATTAAAAATATAGCTTCTAAGAAGCTCTTTAAGCTCAATTATCAAGTCTTGGTACCTCAAAAATCTCTTTGAATAGTTGTAGTGCTAGAACTGAACAGTCCTCAGAGCCTTCCAATGGTTGGTTTGACAAGTGCACCAATGCAACAGATGGTTCAAAAGTCTTTGAGCGAGTCACAAATCTGGTATTTCCAGAGACTGGCAAGCCAGATGGTTCCAGTATTGCCTGCCGCAGGGTGTGACGCAGTTCTATCACAGAACAGAAGGCAAGCAGCAGTTCTAAGATCTGTATGAAATGAATGAGAGTTCAAATGCTTTTAAATCAAGTACTTATACAGCAATTACAACTCCCATAGCACAAGTCTAAAAAGATATGCAAGTTCTATGCAACTCCTTTTAGCACTTGAAAGTTTTCTGAAGAATAGTTTTCTTTCCTTAAAGCCAAGTCAGCAGCAGAAATACAGTTTATTAGACCGGTGAAGGCTTCTGACAGTATCTAGGGCATTGCTTTCCATTCCTTTTTAAAAAGCATGACTGCTGGCTAGCAATCTAATAAGCCGTAGAAATGTGTATACACTCAGAACAAAGAAAGCTATGGGAAGGGAAAATATTCTGAGACACAAATGGACGTACATGTGAACACTCAGAGACAAAGCAGAATGCACCCTGGAAAGCTCCTTGTCAATAGGTCTAAATAAAACCAATAAACAACAATAAAATAAATCACATAGACAGAAACATTAGCATTTATCATTTACTATGATGCAAAACACATTCCTAAAAAAAGCTGAAGATTCCTTTCACAGATGTATTTAGCCCAAATATTTTCACAAAATTTCATATTTTAGCCTTTAGCAACAGATAGCCAACGTTTCATCTGCGTAAGGTGGCAGCAAGACAAAGTTGAATTCAACAGTTAACTGCTTAACCAAATGTGGAACCAATTTGTTCAACTAATAGGAAAGAACTTATTCCTAAGTCTTTGAAGTTAGCATCACGGTTCCCTAATCATCAGTTCAAAATCTTGAGTAGCATTACTTCAAGTTTTATCCAATGAATTATGGTACACACTGCATTTCTGGTAGATACAAAAATTTCTTATTAGGCAAAGCACAAAAAGTGTTTATGTTGGCTTTTTGCCTTTATGTCTGTTGCCTGAAAGCAGACACACATGATCTGGCAAATAAACCCAACCATTACAAATCCAACCTGACAGCCTTTTGAACAACTAGAAAATACAAACTTGGTAAATACTGGAGGTCATTTAAGAGTACTGAAGTCTGTGTATGTCATTATCAAGCCTTCTACACAAGGAACCTACTTATGACTACAGAGGTGGAACCAGATTAGGAGTCATACCCTTTTAGGCTTAACCTGAAATAGTATAAATACCTTAGATGATGAATCAGGATCCCTTCCATGAAGAAGATCTAATACTTGACCAAGGCATGAGGTAAAGTGCTCATATCTACAGCATGCATAGAGGAGGAAAAAAAAAATTAAAAATTGGAAATTCAACTCAGACATTGACACCAAGTAATAAATGCAATTGCCCTATTCTCCTCCTTACCCACAAACAGTTCAAGTACAGTGATAGTTTTGATGAAGTAACTTCTATTTAACATAGGCTAAGCTTTAAAAATATTCTAAGAACAAAAGCAAATTCCTTAATATAAGCCAGGATTTTCCAGCTATTTTTACTCCTAGATTTAGATTCAAATTCAGCAACTGAATTCTGCTACCTCAATTTGCAGAACAACTAGTCAAGCCATCCACAGGACTACTCTGTAATGCCCTCCAGTTAAATTATTACAACTTCAACCATATTATTCCACTTCAAGATAATATAGGCCTGCAAAAGGCAAGATAGATATTCAACAAGTTGTCTAACCACTGATACTGTCCAGACAAAGAATTACTGAACACAGCTATTAAATATTCCTTGAGTGACAATGAAAAAATACATTTTGATTCACACTTCTGTGTGAAACTAGTAACACAAGAATCCTTCAGTTTCAGGTACAGCAGTTATAATCAATTAGTAACATTCAAAAAGCATCTAGGGAATCTTTTCCAATCTTTGGTTCAGAGTACAAATAGCAGGCAGCAAAGGAACTGAACAACAGCTTAGGAAAAATATCCTGTACTTTTCCGAAGTGAAGCCATACCTGGTAAGATAATCTGCAACTTTGGGGTTCTTCAGAAGATCCATGAGTAGATCAACAGAGTACTTTCTTGTTAGAGTACCATCTCCATTTACAACAATATTGAATATTAACTGAAATGTCTGATGGATATTTCGAGCGTGAAAAAGCTGAAAGGAAGAAGAAAGTGATGTATGGGCAGAAATTGACTTTGCTTATTAAATCTCGCTGGCGTTAGAATTTTACTTTGACAGTGTGACCATTAGTTTTATCTACTATTTAAGAATAGAACAGACTTTAAAGTATTACTTACTTTTTCTCCTACTTCTTCATTTAAAGTAAGGCTTGATAATACTGAAAGTGCAAACACAACCATGGTCAAACTACTATGGGCCAGGAAACTTATTAGGGTACGATAAAAACTCTTCACATTATTCTAAAGCAAAAAGGAGAAACACAGGTATCATAAATTTTATTCTGTTCTATAAAAACACCAAACTTACAGATTGTACATATTTATAAATAAGCCATAAAAATAATGAGTAATAATACAAAAAATATAGTGAATGATAACTGTTCTTTAGGAAATCTATTTTAGCATTCTGATGAACAATACTAGTGTTGATGTCAATTACTAAGTACTCTGTTGAACTTGGAAAAGGAAAAATGAAAAAAAGTTAAAGAAAGATGAGAAAGTCATTTTGCTAAAGTCTCTAGTTGAAAATAACCAATGAAAATTGACCCCTATCCCTTCTCTGCTCAGTGATCAGATCTGACAATAGTTCCTCCTTTCCTTCCCTGCCCCCGCCCTGTGCCTTTCCTCTAAGGTAAACAGTACAACATTCACTGCCATGTAGATTAATTTTTATTTCTGAATCGAAAAATAAGCTATGCTTGCACTGATTTATGAAGACACAGGAACCGAGTAGCTCAGATATGGATGTGCATTTGAGGATTCAAGGGCCCTGGCCTGACATCAAGATCCATGGTATTTTATTGATTCATCTTTTAAAATGCAGAGCTCTTTCTTGGCGAATGTTAATGCAGCTTACCAAATGTCCAACTACAGTCTTTACATTATAAGAACTTTGAGTTTTTCTAAGGAAGAACGCTCAAATTTTAAACTCATCTTTAATTTTCAGAAACTAAATGCATAACACAAGCTAGTGCAACAACACAATAGGCACAGAGAAGGAAAGAGAAGACCCAGTTTCCTGTTCTGCTGGTTATTTTTTCCAATATGGGAGAAATAACTGCCAGCTCTGCAGAATGAACAGGTCAGGGGTGTTATTGCTGCAAAAATTGCATAAGAAGTACTAAGGTGATTCCCCAGAGTCAAGTAACTCTCTTTTGCCTTCAAGCCAGAGAATTGTGGCACAAAAACAAACCTCTTACCAAAGATTTTATCTGAGTTTGAATAGACAAATTGTGACGACAGAGATTTGCCAGGAGTCCTAAACACGGTATCGTTAACTCATCTTCAGTGGATTGACTAAAAAGAAAAGTCCAGAAATGTAAAGAAACATGTTTTTATTAAAGCATCCAAAATTGAGTTACAAGAATTTGTGGGTTGGGAGCAGGGTGGTTGGGGGACTTTTTATTTTGTTCTGGGATTTGTTTTATTTTTTAATTAGACACCATTCTGCCAAGCAAAGCAAAATTGAGACAGCAATCCCCATAGTGTGTGCAGTTTTTAACTGAGCACACCTTACAAAAAAAAAAAAAAAAAAGAACAGTATCAGAGATCAGTACTATCAAAGGTCCTTTATTACAGGTGCTTTTAATAGCCATCTCTTCCCAGGACACTTGCACAAAATTCATATTAATCTAACATATGTGTGTTCCTAATGACAAGCATGAATTTTCTCCTGGCTTTTCTCTTTGTTAGTTCCCTGCTCCTGGTGCTGTGGGGTTTGGCTAAGAGGCCAATTAATATTCAATCACCCAAAGTCCCACAATTGCCGCATGTGACAATCTGTAACAACACGGTTTTCAAAGAAAAATCTCTGTTAACTTCAGAGCAACAATGCCACAGGTCACTCTGGAGACCAGGTTAGCGCAATACACTAGAGGCCTTCAGAAAGTTTACAAACTTAGCTAGATATTTCCCATAAGAAAAGACAACTGAGTGCACACTTACACATGATGCATTAGAAATGAAATTAATTCATCGATGTTGGCACCAGCACAAAAGACTGGAACATTGTAGGTTAGCCTCTGCAGCAACTGAATACTCTGAGGAAATAAAAAACTATTCACATGTCTTTCCTACAGCATCTCAGCTGAAGAATGTTACAACTTACAAACACTGAAACTGAAAGGATAAATAAGACACCACAAGTGAATTAACTTTCAGACTCCGTAATGTTAACATTAACAATTACAGAAGCTGCTGCAAGCACATTGAGGAATGTCCTGCCACACCGGTGTACTTATTAAAAGCCCAAACAGATGAATAAGGCTTTACTTTGACAGAGGAGTAACCTTTTTAGCCCACCCAGCTGTCCCCTTTGCCTCATCAGCAAGTCCTCCATTCGGACAGGGAGAAAGGGGCTTTGTGCTATTGAAAGATCTAGAAGTTTCACCAAAATCCAAAAAGTGCTTTGCAACCTCTTGCGAAAAGTATGGTAACAGGAAAACAGGTTGGTTATAAAGACTGATCACAGATCCAACGGTAGTAAAGCCATTCATACAGGCTTCTTTCAGCACATAACTGAGCTAATATGAAGTTCACATACACAAACATGACAAAAATCACAGCATAAGACAGCAGCTGAAACAAAAACTCACCATATAAATATCTGATAAAAGAACTTAAAGGTCTTCTAACTGTATCTGCTTGGTGACTACAAAAATCTCTCCCACTGACTGGCAAGTCAGCTGAATCCCTAAGACTTATGGTACTTCCAGTGTTTGAGAAACAGACAAACTGTGAGAAAAGTTGTCTTGAATGGATGTTTGGCTCATTTGCTACAGATCAAGGGCAACAGAACTGCTAGCAAATTAATTTTCCATTTTCCCTGTCCAGAAGAGAGATGTGACCATAGGTAGCCAGCAAGTACTTGCTGAAAGCTCAGAGCCACATACAAGAAATCCTGTGCATATTAAAAAAAAAAAAAAAAAAAAAAAAAAAGAAAATTTTGCCCTACTTTACTGTTCAATACACAGAAAGGAGAGGTAAAAATTGCTGAAGTCAGTGCGAGCTACCATGTGTTCACAAAAAAAAAAAAATCAGTAATGTCTGGACTTGGCTCCTAAAGGAAGCTTCCATTAGCACAGCCCCTTTGCATTTCCTGGCAGATAGATAGCACTGGCCGGAGGGAAGGAGGCAACATGCCCTGCACACCTTCCATGAGAACTGGCAGCCACAGCTTTCCTTTCATTCCTTCACAATTTCCTGTCAAAGTATTGATAAGACAAAACAACCTCCAGGCTTTTGTTAGGAACATGAGGAGAAATAACTAAGTATCTCAATGCAAAAATAACCTTACAAGCTCGAGGAGAAATAACTATCTCAATGCAAAAATAACCTTACAAGCTCTCAAGCAGCAATTTCTTGAAATAATTTCAAAACCAGGTTGTTTGGTTGTTGGTTTTGGTTTTGTTTTCTTTAAAATTGAAGCAGTTGAGAAGCACAAGCAAGATTAAAGAGAGAATACAGAGAACTCTATGCAGTGTTAAAATCCTGTCATATTAGCCTTATACAGCAAGTAAGATACACAGATAAGATCAATTTTCCTTCAACACATTACTTCAGACAGAGCTTTTCAGAGTTATTATGTGCATACAGTATAACATATACTATGTAACAGTAGCCAAGTATTATTAACCATTCATTCCTGTTACCTGTAATAAGACTGGGTCACTGAGATTAGTAGAACTTCGATGAACCACTCCTGCTAGCACGCTGGTCAGATTGTAGGTATCCTGAAGAGCATCTCTAGTCTCATTGTCTAAAGCTAGAATTCAAGAATTATTAACAAAAAACCCTAATAGCAAAAACAACTGTTGCATTAGCTACCAATCTAAGCAGAAACTGGTCTTTGACCAGTTTTTCACATATATTTCACAAATAACTACAAAGAAATCACAGCTCCTACGCACTTGCATCTTTACCTTACTTATGAACTTACAGTTGATTGAAAGACTAATACTTTCCCTTAAGATGCTTGGACACTGAAGGAATGGCCCCCCTCCTACCCACCTGCTATGGTGGGCAAGTCGACTAGAACTGATACCTTGATAGGGTTATCTAGCAAGAGTTAAATAAAAAAAGGGCAGTTCCACTTAGTCTTGGAAAAGCTATAGCAAACACAGGTGACAGCTAAAGCAACAGATCAGTTCAAAGAGGACTAATTTTTAAAGTTTTCCAGACCCAACAGCTTGGAAAAGATAGTCAAGAACCCCAGCAACAAATCTAATTTTACAGTAACTGTTTCAAAGGCCTCAAAGGAAGTTCAAAGAGGCTAAAAACTCCAAGAATCAGAGAAGAGAAACAAGGGCTCATCCTAAAGGACTCAAATCTTGAATAACTACTCATACATGATGAGAAACTGAGCAGTGAAGGGATGATTTTTCCCTGTCTATATAACCTACATATGTAGGTTATGGTGAGCACCAAGCACCCTAGACAATGAACTCCAACTTCTGTGAAATGGGAAAAAAAAAAAAAGGCGCATCTCAAGAAGCAAGTAAGAGGCAGTAGAACCTATCTTGTAATTGGGAAACTTGATGCACACAGGCCCAGGCCGTTAGAGGGCACAAACTGCCACCCAGCAAACACTCCAATGTGAGAGGTAAATTGAGGTGACGACATGGCTTCTCCCTGTCCTTGCATCCCCTAGGCAGGTTTCTTCACTTCATTCAAAAAGTTAGACTTTTCAAGCTCCAAAAATCAAGGGCAAAAGAATAATTCCTCACCCTCACTATTTCACAATGATGACTTCAAATCTGCTTCTCACAGTGATTTAACACCTTATCTGGCCTTGCATGTACAGTCAGGTGGCTCAGCCAAGCTCTTCACTGCAATGAAAAGCACTTCCTCTTTCACAGCT